GGGGTGTGACGTAATAAGAACATCGACACAATACCGGCCATTCAGTGCATGAAAATGAAAAGTGGGACACTTTGACAGACAGAGAGACAGACAGACAGACAGACAGGCAGACGGACAAACAGGCAGGCAGACATAAAGTAAAGCAGAGGGGGAGAAAAGAAGTAACGACAGTGTGATATTAAAAAGAAATTATACGACCTACTACTGGCGTCCTTTAAACCTTTAAGCACCTGCAATTTAAAAAAAAAGGTGGGAGTGCTACGGTGCTAATATGAGGTGGGGGTCTTTTTTAGGAGAGGGGTGTTTTAATTTTGGTGCCCTCATCAACACAATAAGGTCATATAAGTGCCGAAGAATAGATGTGTTACAAGAGAGTAACATACACAAAAAAGAAGGAGGAGAGATCAGGACGATATAAGTTTGCTAGGAAAGAAGGAGTAGACCACACCAGAGCACCCGCCAACCACCCACAACAAACAAACAAAAAGAAACGAAACGCCCACCATATCCGCCCTTGTTCCCCAGTGCAGTAGCTTCACTGTAACATACAAGCAAGCAAACAAACAATCCAACAAACAAAACCAAAGACAACGCCACCACCTCTTCTTCTGCTCCTTTTCCCAGTGCAGTCGGTTCAGTCAATGTTATACTTATACCACAAAGCAGAACGTTTTGTGCTTTTAAAAAAAGTCTTAGTAAGAGTTTTACGGCACTTGCAACACAATACGGTTATATAAAGGCTGAAGACTAGAGGTGTTACAAGAGAGTTTTAGTTTTAGTAAGAGTTTTACGGCACTTGCAACACAATAAGGTCGTATGAGTGCTGAAGATTAGAGGTGGTACAAGAGAGTAACAACCATAAAAAAGAAGGAGGGGAGATAAAGACGATAAACGTTTGATAGGAAAGGAGAAGCAAACCCCACCAGAGAACCCGCCAACCACCCACTTTCTGCTTTTTTAGTTTTAGAAAGAGTTTTACGGCACCCGCAACACTGTAAGGTCATATAAGTGCCGAAAATTAGAAGTGTTACAAGAGATCAATTAACAACCTTAAAAAAGAAGGAGGGGAGATAAAGACGATAAATGTTTGATAGGAAAGAGGAAGCAAACCAAGCATAACGTTTTCTGCTTTGCAAGTTTAAAGTGCAAACAAAGTGCATGCACAGTTTCGGCCTACGCCCACAGGCTCAGAATCAGATGCAGCTAGACAGACAGGATATATAGTGTCACAGTGCGCCCCACGTCACAAAATTGAGACAGTGGGGGGT